AGAGAAAGCAGTAGCAAAGTCTTGACTACTTCCATTTTTTTTTTTTTTAGACTGCCGCAAAGGAGAAGGTGGGTGCGCATTCTGTGGCTAAAGCGACTAACAAACTATTCAAGCCACACTCTAGGAAGGAAAGACCGATCGTGGCCAACTTTTCGAGCAAATCTCTGCATTGTGTTCTTACGATCTGCAAGAAACAACTACTATATACAGCTGAAATCGTTGTAACAGAGAAAGCGTTCGTTTGCAAAGCATTGTACGTCCTCTTGTTTCTTCTGCCCCTAAAATAAGATGGCCCGAAACTCACACAGTCCAAGGAAATCTCATTTTCGATCAAACGGACATCCGAAAATGGCACGCCGCAAATTACAGTGACGCTTTCCAGTTCCTCCTGGTATCGGTGTTCGTTCAATTAGTATTTTATTGGAAAGCAATCACGAGTCGCTTTGAGTGTGCCGAATAACCGTAACACGGGATAATTGGATTCAGCGCTTCCGATGATAAATTGATGTCGACGATAGGTTTTCACACGTGTACTTACATTCGTCAAGAATAATTCGATACTCGAGTTACGTAAACACGAATTTTCAAATGCGTCAATTATTCGTGGGAGTCCTGGAATATTTTATTGTTTAACACGTTGACTGCGAAGCCACGCGAAATTCATGTGTTTCACCTATCAAACGGTATATTGAATTTCTAGAGAATATTATGTTATGTCAAAATGTACATGTATTATTTTATAGTATTATCTACATTGTCGTCCATAAATATTTCAATAAATCTGGATAATAATCAACCATCTCAAATATTAAATATTTCAGTCGTAGGATATCTATTAATATACGTGATAGATAATATTGATTAAGACAAATAAAAGAAGAATAATTGAAGATAGGTGAAAAATTTATCTCTAAAGTAGGACTTTGAAACGAGATATGTATGTGTGTTACAGCAATATATAAGCGCATCCTAAATTTTATGAAATGTCAAACGTTCGTTACAGATAGACTTGTACAGAATTGCATCAAATTCATGGTTTAAACTGTTACGAACGACAGTGTATTTATTTATGTTGTCTAAAATTTTTTATCAACGATAAAGAGGCCAACATGGCAGTCAACTTGTTAAATCGCTAAATATCGGACTTAAACAAAAAATGAAAGGCGAAAGAAGGTGATGCAGGCAACAAAAGGATTGGAAGAATTATATAGAATGTGTTTCTCCATTTTCGTTTCTTATTTTCTATCATATGCTCGTCATATGCTGTTTTTCATTTTCCGCTTTCCATCCTCCGTTTTCCGTCTTCCGTTTTCCGCTTCCCGTTTTCCATTTTCCCATTTTCCGCTTTCCGTTCGACTACGACCAAGCAACGCAACGTTACTCGCAACATGCACGATGAATCGCAACATGCTCGATCATCCATGAAAATTCAACCACGAAGAACAGCTGCGCGTATATCGTTTCTTCCATCCAATTATGATTCAACAAGTGGAAATATTGTGTAGATAGGTGTTTGAGAATAAACTGCTAGATAGATCGAAGGACTTTTCAAAATTTCAAGGCAACTGATTTAGCCAGATGACATTTCGTGAACTAGACTCGTTTTTTTTTTTTTTTTTTTTTTTTTTTTTTTAAAAAAAAAGATTAGCTTATGCAGAGGAAGAGGAACGCGATATTTATTTGAAAATAATTTCGATTCGACGTTGAAAAATGCCAGCAACAAGTGAAATTATATATCGTCGTTTAATTACAGTGTTTAATTATTGCGTCGCGAGACAAATGGAACGGACGTGTCGTGAATTATTTTCATTACAGTATTGAATATTTTCTTTCTATATTTGCTTTGATATTCATCGCAACTGCAATGAGGATACATTACGATAATTTATTTTATTTATCATTCGCTTCTGTTTATTTCATTCTCGTATTTGCGTGTTTTCAACTCGGAATGCGAATACTAACTAAGTCGAGCGTTGAGAAAATATGAAAAGGAAAGAGAAAAAGGAGAGATGATGCAAAAGAAGAAGGAAATGAAAATGCGAAAGATTCGTTAAACGAGAGTGAGAAAAGAGGGAAATCATATCCTGTGTAAATGTTATCACGCAACCGAGTCGACAGCTTTCAAATTTAATTGAACGAGACGCGTCGATACTGAAATAGATTATAGGGTTTGCACGAGGGTTTATTAAATAATCGCAAAACATCAAAAATATCGTGGCTCATCATCATCAAAATCGGGGCTCCGAAATAAATTTAATCATTACTCGAATGCGTTTCACTGTCCTCCTTTAAAATTCGAATTGATATTCCCATGCGTAATATAACACAACTCGGGTTCCTTCTTTTCTTTTTCTTTCTCTCGTTTTCGAAAACAAGTACAAATTCAGAGGAGTACAGAGGAGTCAAATACGTCAAATCAATCGACACAATGGACACACGTTATTCCATCTCACGTTAACACGAACACGTATTCCGTTCGAACGAACAAAGGAAGAAAAAAAAAAAAAAAAAA